GGTTGGAAGAGACCTTAAAGATCATGCAGTTCCAACCTCCTACCACAGGCAGGGCAAATGTGCTTGGACATCTTCTGGGAAATTTGCTGTCTTGGTTTCATTCGTGTTCTGCCCGCTGCCTTCCCAAGAGTCTGCTCATTTAAAAGGCCACATTCTTGAATCAGTGTGGAGATTTGCACAGGGACATTGCAATGCTCATTCAGTGGTGATCATAATTTATGAGTTCTGGTTTGTGGAAGGCTGGAAATTAGGAGGATGGAAGTTTTGGCACTCTACCCTCCATGGAGGGACTCTTACCTTCCACGAGGGATGTGAGCAGGGTGACGTTGGCAGCTTTGCGCCTTCCTGCAGGTAGATTTAATCCAATTTTCTCTAACCTTTCCCTTAAACACCGACCTCCATTTTTTGATTTGGCTCTGAAAAGAGAAAACCAAGAGGGAAAATAAATTTCCACATAATTCATATTAAAACAACCATAATCCTAATTGAAGCTTTGAGGTTTGAAAAGAAAGAAAAAAAGCGATAAAAATACTATTCCTTGATGTGCCACACACCAGAACTTCTCGTCTCTTTATCTGAGGCAAGAGCTGGTGCTGAACACAGACCTTACCTGCGGAGGACCCCGCCGAGGAGAGAGGCGTTGAGACACTCGGGGGGCGAGAGCCTCCTCTGCACCTCCCCGACCGTCACCTTGTACTTGGAGGTGGAGCTCAGCAGGGACAGGCGGCCGGGCACGGAGCAGAAAACCTCGTTGGGGTTGGTGACGCCTCCGATGAGGCCGTCCTTGCCCATGGACAGCGCGGGGATGGTGGCGCCGTTGGCCTTGGAGGGGATGGGCACTGGAGACAAGGGACAGGGAGAGAAGAGGAGACCATGGCTGAGAAACCTGAACACTCAGCTCTGCAGCCCCTCCCAGACAGCAGCACTGCTGCTGCGATGTCTCATTAGCTCCTTGTTTTCCTCAATGAGAGAAGCGAGGTGGGGTGATGAAACTAAACTAAATAAAGGTTGAAGGAAAGGAAGAAGCCTGGATGCTGCCCTGCATTCCCACACCTCCCAGCCCAGCTGTAATTAAAGCCGAGGTTTGGGCTGGTCTCCTGAGCATTGTCCATAGTGTTTCTGGCTGGATCTGTGGCCAGCTGCCCTCCCTGTCCGCTCTGGGTGCTCCATGGAGGTGGGTGGCCAGGCAAAATGTGGCTGGTCCCATGGCCAGGATGCCAAACCTCTGCAGCTGCAGCCCAGCTCTGTGCCAGCACCCACCAGGCAGGATCAGCCACCTCCATCCCCTGCCCCAAACCCAGGAGCTGCTGGGCTGGCCAAGAGCTCTGCTTCCATTATGTGCCCACGGGAACCAGGGGAAAGAGTTTCTCTGCCTTCAGCTCTGGGATTAACCCCACAAATAGACACAGCCCTAAACTTTCATCATCCCGGGCTTAAAGGAAGCTTGAGAAGATCAAACCCAATTAATCCAGCGCAAACTTCCCTTTGCTTAATGGGCAAAAGTCAATTAGCACAAGGTTAGGCAGGCACTGGTAACTGCAGCATCTTGTTGGGCCCATGGCATCACACCAGGGCAAAGGGGCTCAGTTTTCCCATTTGTCTTCTCATAAGAAACATTCCTAGATACAATAAAGGTTTGTAAGTTAAAACTGTAGGTGAAACTTGTGCCAAATCTCTTTGGATTTATGCTCTGAAATTAATAACCAATTTAACTCGGGGGGAAAAAAGCAGGTTTTGAAATAATCCAAAGACCATTTCAGCCCTGGCATTCTTTGTGCTTCCTCAGGAATGACTGTTCCACAGTCAGATGGTTCCTGCAAGCAATGCAGCAGGGACTGCCATGGTTTGTAAAGGAAATACATATGGCCAAAATGAAACAGCAGCCCCAGGATTAACCAGGGAGGATTCATGGACCTATGAGGGGGCGCTTACAATTGGCATATTGTAAATCCAGCTCAACCACTCGCTAGCATGGCAATAAAAATCAGCACATGCTCCATAAAAATGACTCATGTTTTAAGGCTAAGGGATGAATGGAAAGGAGCTGAAGGACATGGAGTTTCCTCCCAGCACAAAACTTGCACAAAGTCAGGGAGCAAAGGGCGAGATGCACCAGTGCCCTGCTGGAGCTGGCAGCTGCGTCAGTGTTTGCCAGGACTGAGGCTGGTCTGGGGCAGAACAAACACAGGAACATCCCCCTGAGATGTAGGAAACCAGAACTATTTCCAGGAAGGAGCAACTTCAAAGCTTTCCTCCGCAGTCCCAGAACAGGTTAGGTTAGTCTCTAGGGGATCCCTTAAAATCAAAAGTCAGAGCGTGGTTTGCAAATATCCGTGCAGTGCTGCTGAGCTGTGAGGCCCTGCAGGGTCTCAGTGATGGGGTTCTGCTGCAGAAAGGGCCACCCCCAAACCAGACTCCCCTGGGGAGCAGGTGTTGCTTGTAGAGTGCTGTGAAGAGCTGTGTGTGACTGATCCACTCTGTAACCTGGATTATATTTGGGTACATCCGTGCATGCCTGTGTTCATGCCATGGCTGCACTCAAGCTGCATGCGTGGCCAAGGATCTGCACACACCCAGGGGACAGCAGAGCCATGCAGGGACAGGGAGAGGGCTCGTGCCTCACCACACATCCATGGGGAGGAGGCAAACCCAGCTGGAACCAGTGTGATTTAACACCAGAGCCTATGGAGAAGGGTGGGACACAGCTCTGGGTTTGCCAGGCAGCGACAGGGAGGCACAGGTGATGTTGATGCGCGGCATGGAGACACACAACACTCGGGAAACACGTACTGGAGGCTTTAGGAATGATGCCACTGTCAGAAACAAAGCCCTGGAAAGCTGTGCCCTGGAGCTGACTGCTGTGGAGGGCGAAGCCCAGCACAGCTGGCTCAGCCCAGCTCCGTGCCACGAGCAAACCAGGCAGGCACCAGCACTGAGCGTGGGTTTTGGCACTGCCTCAAAGCCTCAGCCAAGGCCACATCCCCGTCACTTTGGGCTGTGCAGGTGTGGGACAGGGTGGCTGTGTCATGTAGAGCTTGTGCCCTCACGGGGGCCGTGAGGGAGGCATGGAGCAGGCAGCAGTGCTGGGAGCCAGGCCCTGGAGTCCTGCAGCAGTGCTTCAGCCATTAGACAGCATTGCCTCAATACAAAAAGAATAAACAAAGCCACATTCGCCATTAATCACGAGTTATTGTTATTGAGCCTCACCTGCTGCTGTTTGCCTGGTCTGATCTGCAGCTTGTTTGCCCATAAACATGCTGCAGGAGGGAGACAAGCTACCATTAAAGCCTGACAGCTTTGTTTCCTTGGCTTTTGGGGAACCAAAATTGTCTCTTGTCATCTGAGTAAACCAAAAGTCCCCCTCGATCTTCAGCTGCTGCTTTCCCGCTCCCGCAAGCAGCAGGTGATCGGAGCACCTGAGCCAGCCTGCAGACAAGAAGGAAGCATGAGAGAGGTGCGGGCCGGCAGCCCCGCGCCCCGGCACCGACCCCCTGAGCCCCGGGCTGCTCCCACGGCCGCCTGCCAGGGCTCAGCCCGGCTCCGGGGCAGAGCAGAGACCTTTTGGCACAGGAGAGACCCCTCGGAGCAAAGCAGAGACCCTCTGGCACAGAGCAGAGACCCTCGAGGCAGAGCAGAGACCCTTTGGCACAGGAGAGACTCTTGGGGCTGAGCAGAGACCCTTGGGGCAGAGGAGAGACCCCTCGGGACACAGCAGAGACACTTCAGGGCAGAGCAGAGACCCTTGGGGCACAGCAGAGACCCCTGGGGCACAGCAGAGACCCCTGGCGCATAGCAGAGACCCTCAGGGCACAGGAGAGACCCCTGGGGTGGAGCAGAGACCCCCTCGGGACACAGGAGAGACCAAAATTGTCTCTTGTCATCTGAGTAAACCAAAAGTCCCCCTCGATCTTCAGCTGCTGCTTTCCNCTATAACTTTTGCTACTAGAACAAAGCTATCCTGATGAGAAATCCTTCTGTATCTCAGGGATTTTAGCCTTTTCTATGCTGAAAATAATCATAATTTGATTCTCATCTGAAGGTGTCAGGATAAAAACATACAAAGGAACCATCCAGAACTTCACTGCCATAATTCTTCCTGCCTTGGAAAAGTTCTGGGATGCTTCAGCACCACAATCATGGGGACAAAACCTGGGTGGATGTTCAATGTCTGGAATTATTATTGCTATTTATGGTATCCTATGGAAATGCTCAGGTGGACACAATAGGAATTATTTTTCATATAAAGGAGATGAGGTGGATGACCAAAGTGATAACTTGTGGCTCAGCATGGCCACGTTCTGGGTGATGGCTGGGTCAGATTCTGAGCCAGCTCTGCTTGGGTGATGAAGGCTCCACATCCTAGAGCAAGGACTACACCAATAATCTCAGGAGCATCATGTCACCCTCACAAATCACATTTATTTCATTGTCTGACTTAAAAACATTTCCAGTGTTGGTGTTTGATTCCAGTGTTGGTGTTTGATTCCAGTGTTGGTGTTTTGGTCTACATCAATAATCTCAGGAGCATCGTGTCACCCTCACAAATCACATTTATTTCACTGTCTGGCTTGCAAACATTTCCAGTGTTGGTGTTTTGATTCAGCTGCACCACCAGGAAAAGCTTCCCTTGCTCACAGGCTGTGTGGCTCCTGGATTCTGAATTTAATGGGCTCTCCTATAGGAAGGAATGCATTAACTACAGGTCAGCAAACTCTGGTTATTGGGTTGTTTCACACCAAGAGCTGTTATTACCCTGTTGCTTTTAAGGTGCCTGTTTAAAGGTAATTATTTAGTCTGTCCAAAGCTGTGTGGAATTCCAGCACAGCCTCTGCTCCCTGGTGTTAATGGTGCAGCACAGTCACAGCTCCATGTTCCCCTTGGTTTGCCCTTGGGACAGCTGACTCTGAGGGATTGGAGAGTTTCTCTCTTTCTCTTTTTCACTTGTCAAGGATTGCTATGTGGTTTCCCTGGATTTGTCATTCATTCAAAATTAATTCAAAAAAGATTTTTTTGTTGTTGTTTCATTCCCCTTTAGAATTGAAATTCCAGTGTATGCTGTAACAAGCACAGAAACCCCGAGCCTGGGTCTATTTTTACTCTTTGACACAATCCTATGTATTTTCCCACGATGAGATTTGTAATCAGTGTGGGAATTTATGCTGGGCTTGAGCCTGGAATTGTGTAAAATGTTTTTTTTCTCTTAGGATGGAAAAGGAGAGGATGTGTCAGGGGATGGGACAGTGAGCTGGGAGGGGGCTTCAGTACAAGAATTGGCCTTGCACGACCCCTGACTCTTCTGAAGTGTCTCTGTGGGCCTGCAGGAATGAGGGTGTCCAAATTTTGGGGAGTCTTGATGCTTTTAGAAAGTTGCTCCTATGTGACCTGTCCATTACTCATCTCGAGCATCTGTGGTGGAATCAACAAGTGAATCCCAACCATGCAACTTCCTCCCACTCACAGGTCACTGGAGGTGCCCTGGCCTTTCAGGCACCAGACTGCTCTTCATCAAACATTCCAAAGACTTGCAGGTACCCAAAAAGGAAAATGAGGAGGGAGGGATGTGTTTTCCACCCCATGGATGTGGTGTGTAATTACTGGAGGCAGATCCTGATTCTCTGTCTGCGTTGCTCATCCGTGCTGTGTCTAAGAATTCCTTGATATTCAAAGTGCCCCAGCCAAGCCAGGTTTGCATAATGTGATTAAATTAGGAAATGATATTTCATGCCTGGATATTACAGTGTGCACACACACACACACTTTCATCCTGTGTTGGAGCGTCGCTTGCTCTGCTCTGATACCGTGCACCAGAGGATGTCTGCAAATGGAATTATTTCAGCATAGTTATCCTAAATAACCCCATGTAGGGAAACCTGTATTGTGGCACAAAAGCACCTTACTCTCCTTTATCATAATCCATTTAAATGTGGATTATGCTGATGCAGAACAGGGCACTCCTACTTTGGAATAATTTTAAATAGGAATAGTTTTTGTGCTTTTGGCTCACGCCCTGCATTATCCAAACTGGCTTTGAAGTGTAAACAAGCCTCTGATGTGTCTGTAATATTTCCATTCTGCTCACTGACTCCTCCTTGTTTCTTGGCTCTTCCTTTGGGAAGGTCCAGAGCAAAACCAGACCTGCAGAGCCCGTCATTTAGGTCTTTGCTTTCACAAACCTCATACCAAGGGACGTTTCCAATCCAATTCCCAATTTAAATGCCCTCCCTAAGCTTTGAAGGGAATATTTAGATGCAAGTTTCTGACGCTGAGCCATCCCCACAGATTATATTAGCACATTGAATGTTTCCTTTCACACTTTCCTGAGATGGAGGTTTGTGTTTCAAATCTCCTGTGGTCTCTTTTGGGACTGTTTGGGGTTTTCTCTCTATTACTGTCTCTCTGTTCTGCATCTCCAGAGAAACCTGTGGGGTGCAGCTCTGAGAAGGGTCCAAAGCAGGGATTGCTGCCATATGATGTGTAAAAAAGGGTCCCTAAAATCTCCCTCTTGCATTGTGTCCAAAGCCATTTTTACACCTGTTCCCATGAAAAGTCGCAGCTTCTTACCTGAGGTATGTAAAATATACTTAAATCTGCTTCCTGACCATGTCATGGGTGTCCTGCCTCTTGGTCTAGTGTCATTTTTCCCTGTTTGTGTTCTTTTATCCCATAGTTTTCCACACCTCTGTCACATCCTGCTCATGTTCTTCCTCCTGCAGCTCCAGCCCTTGGTCCTGCCCCGTGTGGGAGTTGCTCCCACCTGAGTTCCCCATGGATTTACCTGCTGGAATTTACCAGATCTGTAAGTGCCAGTTCAGGACAGAGCAATACAGGGCTAGCACACACAATCTGTTTTTTGCTTTTTAATCCTTTTCCTGACCATTCCCATTGTGTTCATTTCTAAGCTCTGGGAGCTGCTGCTGTGTCCCACTCGTGACGACGCCACGAACAAAACTAATTTGGATCTTCATTGCCTGGAGATCAGCGGGGCTGTTTTATCTCCTCTTTTATCACTGATACCATGAGGTCCTTCTGCAGCTCCTCACAGACAGGTTTGGATTTGACTACCCTGAAACATCAGCAAGCTCATTCATCTCCACTGGCGCCGGCTGGCTCAGCACGAGGGCTGGGGACACAGGGCAGGAACATCAGCTCCTGTCACCCCCAAGCTCTCCTTGTGGCAGCACTCAACCCCCAGCCATGAAACTGGAGAATTCTTCCTTCAATCTGTGCAATTTTATATAATTTCCATGTAATAAACTATATAATCCTTTTTATATACAGAGGCAAAGGATCTTCTCACAAAGACGATGGAGGTGCTTTCTTCAAATAAAAAGAGGTTTATTAAGAGAATGAGAATGACATTGTAGTGTGGGTGTTGTACATCTATTGCAGCATTAAGAGAAACGACAGCAAGTACAAAATCCTGCAGAACTTCTAGAGTCATCATCATCATCACAGCCTAGCTTGTCCATGCTACAGTTTGGTGGATCCAAAACTTCATTCCCATTTCTAATGGCAGAAAATCCAAAGATTTTCATCTTTCAAAAGGAAAAAAAAACCAACCCAAAACAAACAAACAACCAAACAAAAAAAAAGGCAAAACAAAAAAACCCAACTCAATTTGATATAAATAACTTGCACTGGACATTTTAAAACTTTCAGATTTTAATTACACATAAATAAATATATACAGATTTAGAAGAGTTCCGTTTGGCCTGGTTCAAGTTCTGCTCCTTGTGCTTTATTTATTATTATTATTATTACTAAATTTAGAAACTTGTGTGCTGTTATCTGTGGGTTGTGGAGTTTTATTTAGTCCTGGGTTTAACTTCACCTGCCTTATCCCCAGCCAGGAGGGCACCAGTCAGGGGCACTCCCCTTGATCTGCCCTGGGACCCGTTGGCTGTGCGGTTGTTCCTCCCTCGTGCCGTGGCTTTGGGGCTCCTCAGCCCACAGGAAAATCCACAGTGAGTCTCAGTTTGAAGCTGTAAACAAAGCCTGGACCTGCTTTAAATCCACAGCAGTTCTGCCAGCAGTGTTCCTTGGCCTGGCATCGGGGCTGGGCTGTGGGGAAATGGGAAGGCTCCAGCCTCAAAACCAGTGGATAAATCCAGGTAGAGCCAGGGCTGCTCCTGCTCTGGGTCTTGCACTGATGAGGCTTTTTGTTCTTTCCTCTCAGTTTTTCACTTGGAACAAATTCCAGGATTTCACTATGTTTTGTTTTTTTTTATAAAAAGCAAAATAAAATCAAATTGCACATGACTTGTCTTCCTGCATCCACGTTACAAAACAAAAAAAAAAGGCAAAACCCCAAAGCCATCAGCCTGGCTTCTCTCAACCTCACTACGTTCATTAGCACTGTTTTCTTCTCAAATCCTTTAAATCTTCCTTTTTTTCCTGTCTGTTCTTTCTTTGCTTTATATCATCCAAACTCAGCAGTTCAGAAAACAGTGCTGTGGGTCACCTTTTTCCCCATGGAGCCAGGGGGGAGCTCCAACGGGGGGGAGGCAGCGCTGTAATTTCGCTATTTCCGATGCTTCACCTCTTTGTCTGACGCTTTGGAGTCCCCGGCCGTGTGCCCGTTGCCTGTGCTGTTGAGGAATATTTTATCCAGCCCCTTGAGGGACTCCACCAGGTAGTTCTGGAAGGCGGTGAGGGCGGCACAGATGGCCGGGCCCCCGAAGCCGTGGGTGATGAGGCTGAAATGGGTCAGGCAGCTCTGCACGCCCGGCTCCAGGATCAGCGAGGGGCGGCTGTTCCCCAGCGGAGAGCGATCCTGGGCGATCAGGTCTGCAAACTCCTTGCAAATTTGCCTGAAAAAAGAGAGGTTTGGTCACTGAGATGCATGTGGAGAGCTGCAGGACACGGCCATGGGATCACAGATCAATTTGGGTTGGAAGGGACCTGAAAGATCATCCATCCTGGTGTGGGCACCAGGCTGCTCAGAACTTCATCCATCCTGGTGTGGGCACCAGGTTGCTCAGAACTTCATCCAACCTAGTGTGAAAAATGCATGTACTTTATGACTGCCTTTTCACAAATATTAAAATGAATATTATATGTGTTGTGTTAGGAAGTGATGCTGTATTAATTCTCTTAAGTAGTGTGGTAAATATAGTCTTAGGTTATAAAAATTGTTAACATGGAAACGATGCTGTGTAGGGTACTTTTTTAAAGAAAGGATTGGCAGTGAGATATCAGCCACAGGACGCCTGAATCTTTCAGAGAAAGAGAATTTATTGCCCTCTTATCAGAAGAAACGAACTTCTTCCCACCTCGAAGGCGCTGTTAGGATTCAGAGGAAGAAGTTGGCACTGACCAGACAGAATCTGTGTTTTAATGGAATTTATGCATCATGTATGAGATGTATGAATATGCAACAGGCCGTTGCTTTTAAGAGTTAATCCTTTGTTAACGTGGGTCCTTTTTCAGGTTTATGCTGCCCAGAAAAGGTACCTGGACATCCGTAACTCTTTGTATTTGTGGTCTTATATTGTCCTAATTCAATTTGTCCAAATTATTATTACTCTAATTGTATTACTATTTTTATAACCATTTTATTACTATTAAACTTTTAAAGTTTTAAAAACAAGTGATTGGCGTTTTTAACACTAGCATTAAATGCTTTCAGGGACATTCACAACTTCTCTGGGTGCATTTTGGGGTTCTTTTCCTGTTCCCTGCCTCAACATCCACCTTCCCTCTGGGAGTTTTTGGTTCCAACCTGGGGAAAGCCACTGAATGCAGAACTGGAGCCACAGCTTGGAAAGGGCACATGAGAGAGTATCAAAATGCTCTCCAGGGCTGGGTTACCCTCTCCTGTGCAAGAACAAACCCTCAAATCCATGTAGGCTGTCCCCCTTTCTGGACACCTTCCTTCCCCACAGAAGAGCAAAGTTTGGGTTCTAATGCTGAGCCCATCTCTTCCCTGTGGGAATCCGCAAAATCAGAGGGTTTTGGGAAAGCTGCAAGAGTCAAGTCTCAGATACAGTAGAACAGTGATTAGAGCTAAGCAGCAGCCGTGAGATAGGTCAGCAGAAAAATTATTTAAANCAGGGGAGACCCTTTGGCACAGAGCAGAGACGCTTCAGGGCAGAGGAGAGACCCCTCAGGGCAGAGCAGAAAACCTTGGGGCAAAGCAGAGACCCTTGGGGCAGATCAGAGACCCTTGGGGCAAAGCAGAGACCCTTGGGGCACAGGAGAGACCCTTGGGGCAGAGACAGGGTCTGCACGGTGAGGCTGAGGCACTGAACAGCCCCGATGTGAGCGGGAATTGCGGTGCCTGAGCAAAGTAGCAGCCGGGCACAGCAAGGACCTGAGAGCCGCCCGTGTGGGACGGAAATGTCACATCTGTCACATCGTGTCACTGCACACACATCCCTCCTATGGATCAGCCACAGCAGACACCCGTTTTTGGCATCACCTTTCCCACAGTGACCCGGCTCTCCCTCCCTCGTTCCCCTGGCAGCAGCTTGGGCAGGGTCAGGTCCCACTCCTGCCCATGGAAACACAGAAATACATCCCCGAGATGCATTTGCACACCATGACACGCTAACACACTACAAAGGCTGATGAGGAAGGGTTGGATGCTGCTGCCCAAACAACCACAGCGCCAGCCCTGCCTGGTGAGCAGGATGGGGCACCCCTGGGTCACCCCAGCCCACCCCAGGAAGCTACAAATGGCTGGGCACAAGTGGGAGTTTGGGTTGATTCAGCCAAAGAAAGGGGAAGAAGGAGACTTCAGACTTTTAAAAACTGCTCAGAGCATTCCTGGGGAATACAAGGTTGTTATCTGTTCTTATTATTTATCAATTATTATTTTTTGATTGTTGATTGTTTCACTCTGTCCTCCTCCTTTTCTTAAATTGCCTGGCATTTCTGAGAGGGTTTTTCTCATGGAAGTGCTTTTTATTCAGATTAATCCTGCTACTTCTAAATCAGCAAATTCAGGTGAGCTTGGCTGCAGATTTCAAAAACTAAAGCCCCTGTGACACATTTGGACCTGCCCTGGGGATGCTGCAGGTGGGCTGGACACAGGTAAGCACTGACACAGGTCAGAGGGGTCAGATCTGAAAGCGAAAACAGATTTTGGAATAAGGTTATGCTGGCAGACCTCAAAGGGCTTCACACACTGCTGATCCTCAGTTCAGGGCT